ATTTACCACGTGCTTGGCGGTGAAGGAAAACATCGTGAGGAAACCTGAATGTCGTAGGAATAAGAAAAAAGTAATATTTCGAAGACATGTGAAGTTCGCCAACACGCATTGGACTAGCGCGGCGGACACTCCCTTGCCCTAAAAACTCTCTCAGAAATGAGTGGAGGCCTGTGCCCAGCAGTGGGACGTATATAGGCTGCAACTTTACTTTACTTTACAAGAAATAAAAGACATAAGCTATCTGCATCCATCGACGTCCTGCATCTTTTACGAGGTTGTCCCTCACTAGAGAGAGCTTTTGTTTGGAATAAAATTTTCAATGATTTCCCGTTCATAGCATAAAATTAATTATATTTTCAAGTGGTAGAGCGATATTAGTAGTATAGTTGTAGCTCAAACGGGTCGGCTCGACCGGGGAAGGACCACGCAACACAGAATACAGCGTAAAATAGCAACTCAACGCTGCTCAACTGGTACGAGTATGTTTCGTATAATGAGTGCAGAGAACCAGAGACCCATTTTACTGGAAACGAGACATTCCATTTTAGTCCTCACAGGTGACAATGCACTTGCATTTTGATTCGTAATCGAGAATAAATGTAGATGTCTATGGGCCACAGCAACCACTTACCATTGACTGTGTGCTCGATTGTCACACTTCCTAAAAAAAAATTTTGCTTACCGGTACGACTCTGCCACTAGAGAATTTTTCAGCTATACAACCGGCCCATCGTCACCTCATCTTACTGATCCTTTGGCCTATGCCGGTTACTCTGGTTCTACTGCAGATATCCTCATTACGAAAACAACACGCAAAGAAACTCCGAACAAAAATTTGTTTTTGTTAACTCTTGTGGTTGCATACTTATATGTAAAAATTAAGAGCGGGAAACAAAAATAAAACTAATAAAGAACTTTACAAAAGGTTGCTTTTGTAATTTACATAAAGGACTCAACAGTTCAGCTTTGATTTACATACAAATGAGAATCGGGTAAATACATGTAACCATCAAATTTGCTAATAAAATTTAAAAACAAAACATAGTTTCTAAGTTAAGTTACAAAACATACCATTCTTTTTCATAGCTGCAGCTATATTGGTTGTAACACGAATGGGTCGGATCAACCGAGGTAGGCCACGAATTCACAGAATACCATTCACAGAATACATAGCAGCACAATGCTTATAGTCTACAGGGGTGACAAAGAGGATAAACGTAAATGTCTATGGATCTCAGCATCCACTTACCATGGATTTTAGGATTGTATGCTCGTTTGTCACTCTTATTCTTAAAAAAAAACTAGAGTCGGTATTCATTTTCTGTTAAACTTACTGTAGTAGCTTAGGGGATACATTTTGTGTAACCTGACGTGATTTATAAAATTAAAACCATATTTTGAAGACTTTGGTCCCCCATATCAAAGATGATATGTTGCGAACCGGCAACATTCATTGCTATGCGGATGACAACACTGGTGATACTTTATACACAGTGGTGTAGCTACCTAGGGGTGGGAGGGGCAGTGCCCCGGGGCCCTCAAGCTCAGGGGGCCCTCGGATCCTTACCAAAAAATCTTGATAATAATAATAATAATAATAATTCTTTATTTAAATCACAAGGTATTTTAACATAAATAAGTGGCTAGAGCCTCCCTTTAAGCACAGAGCGCCTGTAGTAGGAGGCTCCGCTCTTCCACAACTTCACAAACAAAATCATTGAAATACTTTTAGACAACTAATATAAAAAACGTACATGCTTGTGTGGTGTGTGTGTGTGTGTGCGTGTGTGTGTGTGTGTGTGTATGTGTGTGCGTGCGTGAGTGCAAGCGTGCGTGCGTGTGTGTGTGCGTGCTGTACTTATTTGAGTATTCATATGAGCGACTTTTCAAGGAGAGACTCAATTTCCTCATAATCAAGTGGTTGTAGATACTTTTTTTACTGCATTTTTACATTCGTAATGGGTCATTGTGTAAATTCCTACATGTTTATTAATTTTGTTGTATAATTCTGCTGCGCGTTTACTATACTGAACTCTAGCAAAAAACGTGTGAGTATTGGGAACTTGTGCTACTAATTCTTTTCTCCTCTTTTGTAAAATATTTGGATTAAAAGATAGGGACTTATGTTTCTTTAATATTGTGTGCAGTACATAAATTTTTCGTACTGATAATAACTGTGTTTCATTGTAAAGACTTGTAGTAGGATATCTTCTGTTTTTAAAATACATATTTTTAATTAAACCACGTTGCGCACGTTCCAAGTGGATAAATTTTGTTTTGCAAGCACCCCCCCATATAGATATACAGTACCCCAAAACGGATTGTACCAAAGCTGTGTATATATCGTTTAATAATTTGTTTTGCATAAGTTCAGTGGACGCTTTTTTTGGCACCACATGTCTTAAGGTACGAAATATCCAATTTAATTTAGCAATTCTGTTAGATACATGCTCTATGTGAGAATACCATGACAATTTCTGGTCTATTATTACACCTAAATATTGTGTATATGTTACTATATTTATAAATGGACAGTTATTATTAAAGGCGCAGTTATTTATGTTGTTACACGTATGAATCCTTATATTGAAATCTTCCGAGGGTTGCGTGCGTTTAGATATACTGAAACAGATATAATTAGTTTTTGCTGCATTTAGGGTCAGTAAATTCAAATTTAACCATTTTGCCACCTGGGCCATCCCAAATTCTGCCCTTTCCTTAACTTCTTGCCACGATTTACCTTTAAAGATAACTGCTGTATCATCAGCATACGAAATTATTTGTGCGTTTTCTATTTTTAAGTTGCACAAATCGTTTATGTAAAGCAGAAACAAGGAAGGCCCCAATATACTGCCCTGTGGCACACCATATGATATAGTTGCGTCGTTACTAATAAACTGGTCAACTTTTACACATTGATTTCTATTGGAGAGGTAGTCTCTAAAAAGTTTAAGGGCAGTACCTCTTACTCCGACCTTTTCCAGTTTATATAAGAGTAGGGGGACAGAAACCGTGTCAAACGCTTTCATGAGATCTAAGTACACAGTTAAGCATTTTTGACCTTTATCTAAGTCATCAACCACCAATGATGTCACACGAGCAACTGCATCCTCACTAGATTTGCCATGCCTAAAACCAAACTGATAAGGAGATAATATATTAAAAGAATTTAAATAATTAAGAAGTCGAATATTAATTAATTTTTCAAGTATTTTTCCGTTTTAATACCTAAGTGTTGACTACATATTTTAGATCTATGTTTTTTGTTAAAGGCTTTACCTTTTTTGAGAATCTCAGTTTTTATTAGTACGGAGCTGGTTTCCACCACAATCGGAGTATTCTTCTCCTCAGATTTCTTACCACGAACCCTGTAAATGTCTAAGATGTCAGTCTTAGTTATTGGGCAGTCTAAGTTTTGGGATAAGCATAATACCATCTCAATAAGGTCTTCTTTACTTTCATTACTTTTCTTTGGCACATTTTTTATTTGAAGATTATTCTTGCGGCAACCCATTTGTAAATCCTCAATTTTATTTTCTAAAATTGTTATATATTTTTTATCTTCACTTACTTTGCTCTCAAGTTGATTAATCCTTATTTTAAATTCTTCGTTTTGTGCCGTTAAATATGATATCGAATTTTCAATGTTGACATTGGATCGCTGTATATCTTTTAAACTTGTTGTAACTAGTTCCAAGTCCTTTTCGTGTTTAAAGGAGAAGGAAGTTATCATTTCCTTCATTTCTTTCCTAAATTCATTTAACTGCATAATAATTAGATCCTGCGTGTCATCTTTAGTGTTTTTTTTTTGCGTTGTGATACGTAGGTCGATGGCGGCGACTCCGCATCGGTGAATGATTTGTCTATTGATGAGTCCATAAGTACTAGGCAATCAGTGTTGTAATGCGGTAGCGTATGCGCAGCGAACGCAACAGGTGACAACAGGTGTCGCGCAAACGAGACGTCCGAGCAAGCAAAATGGCACGCTTGCTAATTAGGCGTAGTTGGATACTGCGCGTGCGCTGATTTGTTCACGTAAAAACAGTGTTGTGGTAATACCAGGGCAGCAACGCACACCTACGTGGGGAGTCCGTAAGTACGTCCTGCACTCCTCGTATATTTTTCTATAACGACGCTCGGCAATAGAAGTACCAGGCAATCAGGAAAGTAACGGATATTACACTTTTTTTTTTTTTTCACTGAACTTCTTCTGTCTATGCACCCCTATTTTTATGTCGTGTATTTTTATCACTGTGAGCACTCAATTAATTTTAATTTTTAATTTAAAGAAATATGTGTACACGTCTGATAGCTTTTGCGTCCAGATGGGGAGAGGAAATGATCGAACGGATGGGAATGATCGAACTGAACTTTTGAGAATTTTTTCCATTTTCAAAATAAATATGATAGGTTGCAACCCGATTTTAATGCCAACTCAGTTGAGAGAAAAGTGTTATCAATTTGACGGATAGCGACAGCGTTTTATTATTCATCGATGTGCGTTTTATTGGGAATTCGAGTCAAGAGTTTTTTCAAGAACGGTTAAAAATTAGTGCTGTATCTGTACTGGTCAATATAGTGGTTCATTTTTATATATATATATATATATATATATATATATATATAAATCATGTCAAATGTATAGATTTCAGCTACTCATTGTATATCCCAAAATATCGAAAAAAATGCAGGTCAGTAGGTGCACTAATTCTGCCGCGCGCGAGGAGATTGTTCTTGGTCTCCACCGTTAAATGTGGTAACACTAACGTCGATAAAATGTTCGCCAGGGATAGGCCAACGACGTCTTGTAGTGTATTATTATTTTTCTCCTTTCTTTTACTTTTAACGTCGTCAGTGAACAGTAAGTACCTACTCGAGCACAATCTAATATAAATATTGCATAGATCTACTAGAAAACTAAAATTATGGACAAAAGGAAGAAACCCAGTGGTGCATTTAAACGCAAACAACGCCAAGAAAGATAAGACAGTACACAAAAATTGCCCAAAATTGACAAGGTTTTTAATCAGCCTTCTGCAATTACTTCTGGACAAAATATTACTATTGACAATGACTTAAATAATGTGATAACTGCAGTGTTGGTTGAGAAGCCTACTGAAGAAGATTCGATAATTATTGCAGTTGGAGATACCTCCGCCGCCGATCATGTGAACGTGTATGATGTTTGCATGGCACACATAAGAGCGGAGGATTTGGAGAAACTACAGACTTCTACATTTTTCGAATATGTGTACGATAAATCTTTTTATGACTTAGGAAACTTCACGCACAAAATATTAAGTGATAACGAAAAACGTCAAATTCTTGTTATGCGGCCTTTACAGCCTTCAGGACTGTTTCCAACAGACACAGAACAATAGGTGTTTTTCAAAATCGTATAAGTTTCAAGTTCTAAATATGGACCATTTAATCGTTTTTGGTTGTGTTATTCCAAAATACTAGACGCTGCCTATTGTCAACCATGCTGGTTATTTGCTTCACCAAGGAATAATGTTTGGTGTACGGGAATTAGGGATTGTAAGCATTTACCAGAAAGAATTAAACAACAAAATTGTTCGAGTAGCCATACGGAAGCAAGTGTAGTGTATGAATTTTGGAAAAAAAAATAATTATAACTGTATTATATAATTATACTAATACTATCGACAAGGAAGTTAAAAATGAAACTCGCAAAGAAGAATCATTTTGGAAAATGGTTTTTCAAAGGTTATTCGATATCATAATTACTCTAGCAAAGAGTTATTTGGCTTTGAGAGGACATCGAAAAGACTTAAGTCAAGAAGGATACCATGGAAATTTTCTGTCCTTTGTAGAGCTTGTCGTCCGATATAATCATATTTTGCGGCAAGTTTTGGTTATGCCCAAAGGTAATAAATATCATTTCTAAGTTTTTTATCATTTTATTTTGTTTATAATTTTTTTATTATTAACTGTTTAATACCAGAATTTTTTGAAGTTGTGTTTTTAGGATCTACAAGATATCTGAGCGCAACAATTCGGAATGAAATGATTAACTAAAGCTAAATCTAGGACAATATTTTAAATATAATCGTTATTTAGTAAGTTGGTAGGTCCGACTTTTATATAATTAACCATTGAATCTTTTCTATTTTGTTTTATTGCCCAAAACCTACACCAATTGTAATTTATGTTGTTACTGTTTAATACTTTTATTACCTGCCACGCAGTGCACGAAAAAGAGCTGATGATAAAGTAGCTTAGCATTTTTAAAATATTTGTTTATTTAATAATTTTACTTGATAAAACTTAACCAGTTTAAATAGCAGTGGGGCCCCGTTTTTCGATTTGCCACAGGGCCCTTGGTTACCTAGCTACGCCACTATTTATACACTGGCCGTACTAATATTTTTCCAGAAAACATCACCGATTATCGGAACGAATTTGTGTCTGAAGTGTAGACATTGTTGAACAGAGTCTCGGACTGGGGGCGATTAAATCTAGTCCAATTCAATCTCCTGAAGACACAGGTTTGCGAGTTTGCCGCTAATAAGAACCCCTTTGTTGTATCTCCTCAATTTAAGGGCTTTTCTTGGTGCCTCAGCTAGTGTTGGAATCCTCGCCGTCGACATATCAAGTGACGTGCAGTTTCGTGGTCACTTGGAAGAGAAGGCCAAACTGGCCTCTAAAAAGCTTGGCGTGCTCAGCAAAGCGGTACAGTACTTCATGCCGGCATAACGTCTACAACTTTACAAGGAGGAGTTTTCGCCTCACATGGAATACTGTTCCCATCTTTGGGCTTGGGCTCCCAGTGCCATCTCCTTTCATTTGATCGCATCCTGCGCAGAGCGGATTGAACTGTTGGCGACCGAGTTCTTTCTGATCGGCTTGACTCACTGGCACTGCGGAAAAATGTTTCATCTCTTTGAGTATTTTATCGCATCTACCACGGGGAGCGCTCTGAGGAGTTGTTCGGACTAATTCAAGCCGCTCAATTTCATAATCGCGCATCCAAATACCGTTCATACCATCTGGGTGATTAGCGGTCCACCACTGTGCGATTTAGAAGAAGTTTTCTTCCTCTTAAAACTTCCTTGTGGAATAGAACACTACCAGCGAATTTTCCAGACCTATACGACTTAGGAACCTTCAATAAAAATGCCTGCCTTTTTTAAAATGTCGACAACGCATCTGCAATTCCCGTGGTATTGCAGTTATTCATGGGCGGGGGTAGTCACTCACCATCACGTGAGCCGCATGCTCGTGTGCCCCCTCTCCTATAAAAACATGAAGGGTTCTCGAGCAACCTCGACTCTCCTCGACCTCGAACCTCGAACCTCGAAGCAATTTGTAACTTTGGAATGGCAAACTGATAGTAGATACAGGAAGTCAATGGATGCAAGTGGCTCAGAATCGTTCTTTGCGGCATTCCTTGGCCACATAGGCCTCCCCTATGTTCAGTAGTGGACTTGCGAAGGGCTGTAATAATGATTATTAATTAAAACAGACAAATTTACTGCTGCAGACATTATAGCTATTAGCCGTGGCTCTACTAAGTACACAAGCTTAGTGATTAAAACAGTAGTTAAATAAACCCCAATGCATTAAAAGGTATATTAAATAAAACCTTCCCCTCTGCTTTTTTGTATTTCCATACGCAAAAGTGTAACATAGCCTATATCACCCCCACAATTAAGACTAGCGATCCAACGTAAGACCCACCAAGTCGTGAAGGCTAGAGCGTGCCAAAGAAGTAAACATGACGAGACAGTTGACAAAAAGAGGATTTAGCTACACGCATAATAGGTCCATAGAAATGTTTATACGTGTCAAATTTCAATGTTGTTTCATTTACATATCACCCCACCAACAAGTTAGGGCAGAACAACGTTTGCCGGACGAGCTACTTTCAAATATAAGCCAAATTTATTCTACAAAGAAATATGTTGAATAAAATTTATATATATAATTAACGCCGAAACAGACTGACCTATCGACCGAGTCCAAATGTCTACAGATTCCGTGCTACAGCAGATCTGACCCGCAGAGATCGTGATTCTTGGCGATTTTAACCAACAACATGCCCAATGGCTCCGTTCACGTTTAACCCCCTAGAATACGCAGGCAGCCTGAGCACCCACACTCTGAAAAGTAGAATAACTTGGTCGTGGATGCTAAGCGAGGGATTCTCCGTCACTGAGGACGCTGGTACCCTCCTGGGATAGTTTTTATTGATCATGCGGGGAGACTTTGCCTTGGCATATGGTCTAATATAATTAGTTACTTCGCCTACGCAGATACCAGATGTGGAAGATCATACACCTTCTCTGCTGGTGTTTCTGCTGACCTCTCATCCGGACGGCTACCAGTTTTCCGTCCTCGCACCTCTAGGCTCGTCGGATTATTGCCTTGTCCGGAGTTTGGTGTCATTTGCAGTTTTGGAGTCACATTAATGTCGCGGTTGCATTCTGCAGGCTGCCGACGTGTTTGGTACTATAGGTCAGCCGATTGGGATAGGGAGCGGCTTTTTTTTGCATCCTACCCTATGTGACGCGTTTGCTTCTCGCCGGACGATATCAGCGTTGTTACTGATTCTGATGCTGATGTGGTACTTCAGGGTATGGAATTTTTATTCCATCTTCTGTGGTGCCAATCGAAGGCAGATCCCAGCCACGGTTTAGACGCTCCTGTAAAATAGCATCACGCAATAAGCAAGAGTGCTACCGGGCCTGGGCTGACGCATCAATATTTCAGGATGTAAACAACAGTGCTCTTAACAAGAAGTATAATTCCGCCTCCAGGTCCTTCAAAAGAGCCATTACCAAAGCAAGGTCTGAGTACATCGGCCGAATTGACGAGAAACTAGTTCACCTTCCTACGGGAACCCGTGCATTCTGGTCTCTCGCTAAGGCTGTCCAAGAGAATTTCTGTCATTCATCTCTTCCATCTCTTCACAGAGAGGATGACTCACTGGCCCATGGCGAAAAGCAGAAAGCCGATCTGCTAGGCTCTCTCTTTGTGTCGAACTAGACTCTCGATGACGGGGGGTGTTCACCGCCGACCATCCCGCGGTGAGTGCTCCATTCCGGATGTGCGGTTTACACAGCGCTCGGTTCGCAAAGCACTCCTCTCCCTGAACATCAGTAAGTCGAGTGGACCTCCCATTGTGTTGAAGACGTGTACTCTGGAGGTGCTTGGAGTTGAAGTTACGAAACGTAAAACTGACGCTATTTTGTATTGTCACTGTCATCTTTAGTCATTGTTTGTGTCCCTAGCAGTTGAGAGCGTTTACATACCCCTGTCAATGAAAACAACGTTTGACTACCACCATGGCGTCTCCGAAGCCCCAAATTTCGTGTTCTGCTGCGCCGTCTGCAGAATCCAACAAAAATCAAACAAAAAAGGGATGTGTTACCGGTTTTATCGCGTCTTTTCAGGTACTCCAACTCTTAAGGCATAGTCCCAAATTTATGGAAGACATATGTGGTCCACCCGATCCCTAAAAAAAGTGACCACTCAGACCCGTCCAACTATAGGCCGATTGCCATCACCTGCTTGTTCTCCAAAATAATGAAGTCCATTATAAACAGCCAGCTCATGAGGTACCTTGAGGATTACCAGCAGATTAATTACCGCCAATAGGTTTTCGTCGTGGTCGATCAGCTGGTGATCTTCTGGTCTAACTGACTCATATATGGGTGGAGGCAGTAGAGTCTAAGTGGGAGGCATTGACCGTTAGTTTGAACACAGCGAAGGCTTCGATCGGGTCTGGCACAAAGCGCTTCTTTCCAAGCTCCCTGCCTATGAGAATCCCGATTGTACAATTGGATCACCAGTTTCGTTGCTGCAATCAGCAACGCAACACTATTCGATTATATGTCGACGCCGTTCAGCCTCACATGGAATACTATTCTCGTCTCTGAGTCGGAGCACCGCAATGCCAGCTCCTTCCACTTTACCGCGTCCAACGCAGAGCGGTTCGAATCGTCGACGATCGAGTTCTTTCTGATCGGCTAGATTCACTGGCGCTGCATAGGGATGTTGCATCCCTTTGCATTTTCTATCGTATCTACCACGGAGAGTGCTCTGAGGAATTGTTCGGATTATTCCCAGCTGCCAAATTTCATGAACGCAAAATTCAAGATACAATCCACACCATCTGGATGCTTGGCGGTCTACTACTGTACGTTTACTAGGAGTTTCCTTCTACGTACGACCTCTCTGTGGAACAGTTTACCACCGGCAATTTTTTCGGATCGTTACGACCTAAGGACGTTTAAGAAAAGAACTTCATCCTTTTTAAAAGGCCGGCAATGCACATGCAATTCGCCTGATGTTGTTCATGGGCGGCGGTAATCACATATCATGGGTGCGGTTGGCAGAAACAAGCGCTAGCAAGCGC